GGAGGCGTGGCTGGCGGAGGCGTCCATATGGTGGCATCTGGTGGCCGCTGGCAGGAACTCTACCCCAAAGTCTGCCGGACAATAAGATCCTGTTTGAATGCCTCCACCACCCCCCCCCCCCTCTGGGCCGTGTTCGAGACGACCAGGAGTCCCGTCCTAAATGCGCCGGCCTCGGCCGGAATCACGATGAAGCGAGTTCGCCCTAGTAGTCACCACCGCCACCGTCATCACCGAACATGTCCATGCCACCACCCATGTCAACCTCCTCTTCTTCCTCTTCCTCTTTCTTCTCCTCGATGGCGATGGCGTCGCTGCCGGTGTTGCCCGCGCAGGCAGCACAGGCAAACGCAGAGGGGTCGGCTAGGAAGGCCTTGAAAGGACTGGCTTTGGCGAAGGAGAAGGCATCACCAGACTCGACTGCGATCGCGACGAGTGACTTGAAGGCGTTGGCGACGGAGTGAGGTACAGAGGCCATTGTCGGATAGCCTACCTGAAGGCAAAGCGAAGAGAGGGTACTGAGGGCAGCGCCAAACTTGATGGAGAGGTCCTCATCGGTGAGGTCGAGAACCTTCACGTCGAACATGGAACCATTATCGTAGACCTCCGTGATAACAAGGCCATAATCGAAAGGATTGATGTGAAGTTTCTGGAGCAAGACAGCCTCGGAGTTGCCGACCTTGTCACCCGCCTTCAGCAGGTTGACGGGGGACGTGATCTCGATGCGGCCCTTCACAATCTTTGTGGCAATCTGCAGGGTCTGAAAAAAATTGGTCTGGCCGGGGTCACAGTCGGTGGGACCGGGGGGTACGATCACATCGATCGGTGCTATCGCACCGACTCGTGCTGGAGCAGGCACGCGATTATCTTCGATGAGCTCTCGCACCTTGCCAAGGTCACCATTAGTAAACACGAAGCCAATGTTACCCATGATCTTAGGAAGAAGCATTTCATACGGATGCCCCGGATTTTTCACCAGGTACGCAGTCACAACTTTGCGCATCATCGTATTCTTACCCATGAGGACGACTGCTTCGCCACGCAGGGCGATGCGAATCTGCTGAAATTGTTTTGACCCAACGTTGTCGCAGGACACGATGAAAATTTTTGAGTACATATCAAGGAGCCCCTCCATTTTCTCAAAATACTCTTGCTTGCGCTCGCGTGAGAGGCCCATCTCAGAAGCGATTCGATAATTGGCGATTTGGCGAACTGATTTACGGCAATAATATTTAGGTTTTTGTACTCCCACTGCAAAGAGATAAAAAAATTTCTCCGACAATCGGGCGTTTGAAACCGAGGACCACGACGACGAGAATGAACCTGAGATCATTTTGACATCGACAGTGTCGGGGAGCCTCCCTGACCACTCCCCCAAAGCCACATAGGCCCCCTGGACGGCGTCCCACAGTGCGAGCTGCGCGTTACTGAGCCCAGTGGATCTAGATACAGCGCCCAAAAGCTGATCAGGGCTGACGAATTCAAGACCTGGCAGGGAGATGGGGTCGAGCCCTTCCGCGACCAACCTTATAACCCTCCCGCCGCCCGGTTGGGCTTCCATTACCGTCGAGATTACCAGAAAACCATGCCCAGTGGACTCTAGCCGGTCGCCCGACCCCCGGACTAGGGATGTTACTTAGTATTTTTTTAGCTGGATCTCAAGAGCTCGCCGAGATTACCTTAAATTTACAATCTTAGGCTGAGTGGAGTTCCTAGGGCCGAGCATTACCGGAATTACCTAAGACCTACGGAGGCCCTTAGGGTGTACGTAAGAGCTCCGACGTACGTGGCATGTCACAGAACATACTCGTGCTGCCCCTGAGGTCGTGACTGGGAGGTCCGGCCATACCGGCCGATACTTAAAATTAGCCAAACATTCCTAGAGCCCATGCTCCGTATGCACTGTGCCCCCCCGGGGGGGGGGGGGGGGGGGGGC